ATTATGTAAACCAGTACGGACTGGTAATTGCAAATAAAATACGCCGATTAGAAGATCTTAAGACTAAGCGCGCAAGATATCTAACAGCCTTAAATTTCTTGAAGAGATGCCGAGACCATAATCTCATTCCTACGTGTGTCAAAATATCCACCAAAAAGGACATTCGAGGAAGCGCTAAGATCTTAAATCAGGCAAGTAAAAAGTTGTTACGGGCGGTAATCCAACAAAAACGCTCCGATCTATATGACATAAATAAATCCATAGACATATCATCCAGTGAATTAAAGAAAGTTTTAACGACGTTTGATTATAACTTTTGCATGGAAACATTAAATAAACGCGAAATTAGTAAATATAACGAATGCAGAAACAAACATATAGAAAAATATCAAAAATTAACGGCCAAATCAAATGTCAAACATCCGAATCAATGCCAGAACCAAAAGCAACCATTGACAAACACAGATCATAGATTAATCGCGTTCTATAATCTGTCAAAACAAACACTGGATGATGCAACAATAAAGGTGTTATCCAAAGGACTAAATTACGCTATAACTCCAAGCAGATTACCGTACGAAGAAATTATCTGTAGTGTCGAGGACTGTTTTATTTAAAAACAATATGCGGAAAGAAGATTTGGAGGCGATACGTCAAGACATTTCGTCTATGTTACGTCGATGTTCAGTGCCTAAACCGAATCTTCCCAGAGACGAATTTATAGCGTTAAAGATAAGGGAAACCCCACGGTGGTCATGGATACGTCAGATTATAATTCTAAAATACAAGAACTTTTGTCGGATGTAAGTACTTATAAAAAAGGTTAAAAACGACCCAACAAACAGCACACTAAAAACAACTAGTGACCTCATAAAGAAACACTCCGAAAAATTAAATCTGGACGTAAAATGGATAATACCTACGTGCGCCAAATCACCAAAGTTGTATGGGTTACCAAAAATACACAAGCCCAATGCTCCATTACGCCCCATAGTGAGCCAAATCGATTAACCAACTTACAGATTGGCTCAACACTTAGCGAAAATACTCTCACCGCTCAGGGGACATACAAGAGCACACATAAAGGATTCCTACCATTTTGTCAGCGAGATTAAAGACCTACGTCTGGCAGACAATGAAACTATGGTCAGTTTTGATGTGCAGTCATTGTTTACATGCTTACCTGTTGAAGACTGCATCTCAAATGTAACTAGAAGGCTGGAAGAAAACAACATGCCCGTAGAATATGCAGTATTACTCAGACACTGCCTTACATCTGGCTACCTATTGTGGAAGGAGGAGTTCTACAAGCAAGTAGATGGTGGGGCTCACCTGTATCTCCCATTGTCGCCGACATATTCATGGAAGACTTTGAGGAGAAAGCCCTGCTTACTTCTCCCATAAATCCAAGATTCTACAAGCGGTACGTAGACGACACTTTCACAATTCTACCTTTAGATAAAGTAACTGCATTTTTAGACCATCTTAACTCTATAAATACTAAAATTCAGTTCACAATGGAGTTAGAGGCAAACAATTCCTTAGCTTTTCTAGATGTGTGAGTAATTCGGAATCCTGATAACACCTTGAGCCATACTGTGTATAGAAAAAAGACCCATACAGATAGATATTTAAACGGTGATTCTCACCACCATCCTTCACAGTTAGCTACCGTGGGTAAATCTTTGTTTCAGAGAGCACGAGGGATCTGTGACAGTAAACACCTGGCTGCCGAGCTCCAACATGTCAAGCAAGTTTTGCATGACAACAAGCTTCGGGTCCCGCGCCTACGTCACAGAGAACGAGTGAAGCCGGCCACAGTCGAGCGTGTACCTGCTGTACTGCCATATGTTAGAGGAGTCACTGACAAGATTGGCTACATCTTGAAGCGCGCTTCCATCAAAACATACTTCAAGCCGCCGAAGAAGATTGGTCAGTTTTTACCATCAGTCAAGTGTAACGTCCCTCTGCAAGATGCAGGAGTGTACAAGCTTGATTGTGAATGTGGTCTCTCCTACATAGGACAAACTAAAAGATCAATTAAAACCCGCGTCAAAGAACATATAGCTGATGTGAAGAATCGACGCTCCGGGAAGTCTGCAGTCTGTGAACATGTTCAGGATCGCCCCCGTCACTACATCAGATTTGATAGACCACAAATCCTCGCTAAAGAACACCGATTCCTTCCAAGGATGATTCGCGAGGCTATTGAAATCAAAAAACATCCTAATTTCAATAGAGAAGATGGTTGGGTGCTACCATCTGCTTGGGATCCTATAATAAATAAAATTAAATCCCAACCCAAGCATACAACTGCAAGACTCCATGATACCATAAGTTCATACTGTGTAGATCGGAACAAAAGTTAAATTTTAATCTATGGTAACCGCGGTTAACTATGACAGCTGGACGTTGAACATCTCAGTCCTTCCCGTGACCATGGGTGCTGTAAAGCTCTCGAAACGTCGGGTAAAAAAGTTAAATATACGCGATAAATTCCGTAAAAATTAGTATTATTTCAATGTGTAGTGTTCGCGTAAATATAAGAAATCATTAAATAATATCAAATTATAAAACACATAAATGTGGATACTGACCTCATCATCATCTGGCTCAAACTCACTGTCCTTCGACAGATCTTCATCATCATCATCAGCATAGAGCATGTGGATGAAGTCGGCGCACAGATCATTGTTTGCTCTCCAGTTTGAAATCTGTAATACGTTATAGAATAAATAAAAACATTTATTTTCACACCATACTGTATATCACACGGGTATTTGTATCATAATACATGCTAACAAATTATTTCTCTCCTTTTGTTATATAAATAATGCTTATAAAATGTATTATTCATGTAAATATATAATAAAAAAATTATCGATAGATCTGTAGAATTTTATTTCGATACCCCATCATATGACATTGATCTGTGACCTAGAACACATTACACCACAGTAATAATAAATGATAATAATTTTCACACTAAACAATGTCATCATCATCATCATCATTACAGCCCTTCATAAGTCCACTGCTGAACATAGGCCTTCCTCAAGTAATGCCACAAAGCACGGTCCTGAGCCACCTGCATCCATCGACTTCCTGCACGTCTTACCAGGTCGTCACTCCATCTAGTGGGGGGACGCCCTACACTACGCTAACAAAATACCACCTCTTTATTGATATAAACTATTGACATATCCCGTTACTATTCCAATCACTGCCGAATAATAGATTCAAGTAGTTACATAAGATGGCTTGCTGATTGTCGACTGTGGAGACTGCAATTTTATATGTTCAGTAGGTACATGGAATTTGTCGTACTACGTTACTATGTTTATTTACAATAAAAATCGTTGTAAATTTCAATATAATACTTGTTTCTGTTTATTAATTATGTTATATTACTTGTTTAAGTGGTTTTACTTCGTTAGTAAAATAATTTATTGTACTTTGATAATAAAAACGTTGAAAACCACGCGGATGTCGGCTGCGTGAAAATAACTATTATTTCTATATATTACTCGAATTTTTTACGTAAAAAGATAAATTATACTCACACAGAAGCTTTTATAACAATTTTAAAATAAAACACTGTACGTACCTCAAAAAATTCAAAAAACAAGGCGGCACTTCACAGTAGCAACCACACCCAAATGCACAGACTAGACTAGATAGAGAAGAGAAACCATAGAGATTCTAAGTCAGTGAGAGAAACTAACGTTTCAGACAGCCTTGCCACGTATATTGTCTTTGAACGTTTGAACCGGTTTGATCTCTAGTACATAGTCAGTAATCTATGGTTTGAAACGTATGCAAGATTTGAATATTATGACTTTTTTATACTTATAAATGCTAGTAGCATTAAGTAATGGAACGAAAACCATACAGCCAAATATTATTACAGCAGCGTAGCGAAGTATTTCCAATTAATTTAATATTTTAAAATGTATTGCAGGTATAATAAATAAAACAGCGTTTGTCTACATAATTATTTATTAAAGTTTTTATTTCTAATTTTTTCAAATTGCCCAAATGGCACAATTTGAAAGCCGAATACAAATGTCAAAATCAAATCATAGAGAAACAAAATTTTTATTAAACTAGAGGATAGAAAATTTCATATTGAACCTATAATGCTAAACTTCTTCATAGAAAAGTAGTCTCTAAATATAAGTACTTATGAGTTAAAGTGTTGTGGGTGTTGTTGTGGGTAGTCCTAAAATGTTGTTTGTTAAGAATCGCCTTTATTATTAAAAACAGTTGTCATCTGAACTTCGTTGTTTCATTGTCACTACATGGTGGCAGCGGTTAAAATACTTAAGTAATTTTGGATTTTACGTTTAAATAACGTTAATTTAAATTGTTATTGTTAACGTAAATTAAGTGTAAAAGGTGGAGCATGCAAGACCACCTACCGCATTGAGTTTAGATGGCAGCCCCGTCGGCCGGGAAACGCATGGAAAAGGTGGAAGGCGCAATTCAATCTTTTTCTTAAAGCATCGGGGGTGCTCAAATAAGAAGGAATCATACAGGTGAGTTTGCTTATTAATCTGATTGGATCAGATGGATTTGATGTTTACGAGACTTTTACGTTCGATTCAGAAAGGCAGCTTGAGGACGTCGAAATGTGGATGAAAAAATTTGATGAGTATTTCGGTGTTAAATCTAATATAACATTACTGAGATATAATTTCTTTACGAGGTATCAATAATCTGGAGAATCCATTGATCAATATGTAACAGCGTTAACCCTTAACTTCCTACCCCTAATTTCAGATACATATCTACCTACCTGGAGTCTCACAGACTCCGTTACTTTGAACATTTAGAAAAAAAAACTATGATGTGGGGTGACTAATTGAAATGAAGAAACGTTATTATTAATATCTTTTATTCATATTAAACTTATAAAAATAAAAAAAAATCAATGTCATTCATAACCAAAACTAAGTTTCTTTTTTCGCTGACTAAAATAACTTAAAATAGTAACATTCTTATAACATGAGATCTGTAATAAAAGTGATCAAAAATTAGGAACGTTTAACGTTTAGTAAAACTTCGAATCGGTTCTTGCTCATTATGCATCGATATATTTCTCTGCCTGTACCATCCGTACTAAACCACGACTGATAAAATTCACGATTTTCCTTGAACAAAGCTGTATAAAATAACAAACCTATAAATGCTTTAAGTTCTACTATATCTAGATCTTGAACACATGATTGCTTTTTGTATTTTGGTCTGATAGATTGAAGTTTTTCGTTGGTGTGCAGTACAATTGTATCGAGCATTGCATCAGTGAAATATTGACTCCAAATATCAAGCGGCGAAGACGAAGAATCAAGATTGTACCCTGGTTTTATACCTTGTCTTTGTTGCACAATATTGTGTTGTCTTGAGCGACTAGAATGTGGCACTGACGACCAACGGAAACGATTTTTGCCATAGTAATTTTTCTTCCTCCGTCTTGATGCAAACTGATACAAAGGAACATCATCCTCCGACGAAGAAAAATTAGAAAGCGTGCTCTGGGGTTGAGATTCAGCCTCTACTAAATTCGCGTCTTCATCACCCTCAATCTCGGAGTCAGATGCGGAGTCACAAGACAGTACATAATCCCCACCGGTATCTGCTTCCACATCACTGCAATCTTCGTTGAACGTATCTTCTTCATTTGAAGAATGTTCATCCTCCAACCAACGCATGATAATTTCATCTTTTGATGTCATTTTCAACTAAAACAAAAAAAAAAAAGACATTTCCTTAAAAAGTCACGTAACTACCTACCCGGAGTCTCTCAGACTCCACGTAAAAGTTTTTTACTTACCAAAAAGCAGCGCGCGCACGTTTGTCCTCGAAGAGCGCAGGTTCGGAACTGCAGGTAGCAGAGTGGAGGTACACGGACGCACGAAGGACAAAGACGCACACACGTAAAGTTATAAACAAAAATAAATTCGATGGAGTCCGAGAGACTCCGGGTAGGTAGTTAAGGGTTAAAGTTACTCAGCAAAAATTGTGAATTTAAAAATTTAGAGCAAGAGTTGATACGCGACCGTATTGTGTGCGATATAAGGAGCACAATTGTAAGGAACCGGTTGCTACGGACAGACGAATTGACTCTGGAGAAAGCAATTAAAATATGTCAAGCAGATGAAATGTCAATAGACAGCAAGCGTGTGATGGAAGCAGGTAGCTTCAGCAGTTCGGCAAGCTGCGGGCCCATGCGCGTTGAGACGCTGTCGCGGTGGCTGGCGCCGCGCGCGAGGTACGCACGGCGGGACCGCGGCGCGGTGCGGTGTACTGATGTAGGTTCATGTCCAGCTATTTCGGTGAAATGCTATATGTGCGGTAACGACTGCCATTACGCTAGGATGTGCAAATGTAAAAATAGTGTAAAAAAATGTATGAAATAGAAGTGAATACAGAAAAATCTGATAATGATGACTGTGAGTTGTTTTATGTATCTGTGTTAATGGATACAATGCAGAACAAAATCGGCCGCCATGACTGGTACGAGGTAATAAGAGGTGAGTGTGGCTTTGAACGTTTTAAGTTGGATACCGGTGCCGACATTAATGTCTTATGTTATAAGATATTTTTGACGCTGGGATTTAACACAGAAATTATATGTAATAATAATAAAATGAAATTACAACTTACTTAAAATTACAGCGGAGCTTCTGAAAGCGGGTGGAACACCGGTACTTGAAGTCCTTCAGAAGCTCTTCAATTCCGTCCTCCATGGTGGCACTACTCCAGAGGCGTGGAGCAGAAGTGCGGTGGTCTTGTTCTTTAAGAAAGGCGACAACGCTCTCTTAAAGAACTACAGACCGATTTCCCTTCTGAGCCGCGTCTACGTGCTGTTTTCGAGAGTCATTACGAATCGTCTCGCACGCAGACTTGACGACTTCCAGCCTCCCGAACAAGCCGGTTTCCGAAAAGGCTTCAGTACCATAGACCACGTACATACCCTGCGGCAGATTGTACAGAAGACTGAAGAGTACAATCTGCCACTTTGCCTGGCGTATGTGGACTATGAGAAAGCCTTTGATTCCGTCGAAATTTGGGCGGTGCTACAGTCCCTTCAGCGGTGCCAAGTTGACTGTCGGTATATCGAAGTGCTGAAGTGTTTGTACAGTAGGGCTACGATGGCTATCCGAGTACAGAACCAGAGCTCGAAACCTATCCAACTGCAGAGAGGTGTAAGACAGGGTGACGTTATATCCCCGAAACTCTTCACCGCTGCATTGGAAGACGTTTTCAAGCTACTGGACTGGAAAGGATACGGTATTGACATCAATGGCGAGTACATCATTCACCTTCGATTTGCCGACGATATAGTCCTTATGGCAGAATCGCTGGAGGACTTAAGCACTATGCTCAATGACCTCAATAGTGCCTCCCAACGGATAGGTCTTAACATGAACATGGACAAAACAAAGATCATGTTCAATGTCCATGTCACACCTATGCCGGTAGTTGTTGGGAGCACTATGCTCGAAGTTGTTGACGAATACGTTTACCTGGGACAAATAGTCCGACTAGGTAAGTCCAACTTCGACCGAGAGGTCAATCGACGGATTCAACTCGGCTGGGCAGCGTTCGGGAAATTACGGCATATCTTTTCGTCAGGTATACCTCAATCTCTAAAAACTAGATTGTACAACCAGTGCGTGTTGCCAGTGATGACTTACGGATCTGAGACGTGGTCCTTCACTGCTGGCCGTATGAGGACGCTTAAGGTCGCTCAGCGAGCTATGGAGAGGGCTATGCTCGGAGTTTCTCTGCGTGATAGACTCAGAAATGAGGATATCCGCAGTAAAACCAGAGTGACCGCCATAGCCCAACGGATTAGTAAGCTGAAGTGGCAATGGGCCGGCCATATAGCTCGAAGAACCGATAACCGATGGGGAAGAAAGGTTCTCGAGTGGCAGCCTCGTACCGGTAGGCGTAGTGTAGGGCGACCCCCCACTAGATGGAGTGACGACCTGGTAAGACATGCAGGAAGTCGATGGATGCAGGTGGCTCAGGACCGTGCTTTGTGGCATTACTTGGGGGAGGCCTATGTTCAGCAGTGGACTTGTGAAGGGCTGTAATGATGATGATGATGATGATGAAATTACAATCGTTTAGCGAGGATGTTATCCCGATAAGAGGAGTTTGTCATCTTAAATGGTGGCATAAAAATAAAATGTATGTTTTAAAATTTGCAATAGCAAATATTAATTGTGAAAGTGTGCTGGGTCGACAAGCGTGTTCGGAACTAGTATTAATTCAACGTGTTTACGACATTAATATGGTAGAAAATTCGGATCTTTTTGAAGATTTAGGGTGCTTACCCAGTGTTTGTACCCCCGGTAGTTTGTACTCCGCGAAAAGTACCTCTAGGATTACGTGATAAACTATTAGAAGAATTACACAGGATGACTGACTTAGGAGTCATTAGGAAGGTCACTCACCCAACACAATGGGTTAATTCAATAGTAATTGAAAAAAAGAATGGAACATTACGAATTTGTTTAGACCCGAGACCTCTCAATAATGCTATACAGCGTGCACATTTCCAACTGCCAACCATCAAGGAACTTGCGACTAAATTTCACGGAGCTAGTTTTCATTCGGTTTTAAATGCAAATTCAGGTTTTGGGCAATAAAACTTGATGATAGGAGTTCAGACTTATGCACCTTTAGTACACCGTTTGGGCGCTATCAGTATTTAAAGTTACCTTACGCTGCGCTTCAGGGGTCTTTCATGCTAAGATTAAGCAATTAATAGAGGATTTAGAGGGAGTAGATTCTTTTATAGAAGATATTATATGCTGGGGGCGAAATACAGACGATCATGTTCGTCTGTATTTAAATGCATTATTAAATAGGGCTCGTGAAATTAATTTAAAATTTAATAAAGATAAATGTCGTATATGTGTGGAGGAAGTGACTTACTTGGGTCATATATTTAATAAAAAGGGAATGAAACCAGATTTAGAAAAAGTTAAAGCAATAAAAAATATGCCAACTCCAAAAGAACGAAAATCATTAGAACGATTTTTAGGAGCCGTAAATTATTTATCTAATTTTATACATAAGTATTCTGAGCGTATTTATCCGCTTACTCGACTGTTGAAAAAGGACACAGAATAGTGATGGGAGAGTGAACAACAGAATGCATTCGATTTATTAAAATATTTAATAAGCAAATCACCCGTGTTGGCTTTATATGACATATCGCAACCGGCTGTAGTCTCGTTGGACGCAAGCAGTGTAGCGCTAGGAGCCGTGCTGTTGCAGGGCGGCCGACCTATTGAATATACTTCACGTACACTCACCGACACACAGGTACGATATGCGCAGATAGAAAAAGAAATGCTAGCTATTCTCTTTGCGTGTGAAAAGTTCCACCAATATATTTACGGTAAAAGTAATGTTTTAATTGAAACAGATCATAAACCGCTAGAAAGCATTTTAAAAAGAACTTAGATTCGATACCAGCACGCTTACAACGAATGATTTTACGATTACAATCTTATGATTTGATAGTTACATATAAGCCCGGAAGGTATATGTACTTGGCCGATACATTATCACGTGCCCCTATTGCAGAACTATATAATGATAAAGTGAGTGATAATGTATTATATCAAGTGCATATGGTAGTTTTTAACATGCCCGTTTCACATAAAAAATATGTGTAATTAAAAATGAGACTTTAAAAGATAATAATTTAAAACGTTTAATGAGATATATAAATCAGGTTTGGCCGGAATATAAACGAGATATTGAAGATAATTTAAAATATTATTGGTCTATGAGAGGCGATTTATTTTGTGTAGATGGTGTTATATTTAAAAATAAACAAATATTAATTCCCAGTTCCTTATGAACCGAAATGTTAAAAATCATACATGGTGGGCATTTAGGGATAGACCGCTGTAAAAGGCGGGCGCGTGAAGTGTTATTCTGGCCAGGGATTTCTTATGATATAGAGAGATATGTAAGTAGGTGTGTTGTGTGTCGAGAGAATTCAAATAAAACCTAGTAAGGAACCAATGATTGCTGTTTCTATTCCAAATTTACGATGGAGTAAAATCGGGACGGACATATTTCAGTATGGTAAAAAATCGTATCTGATTATTGTGGACTATTATTCATGTTTTACGGAAGTAGCATTGTTACATGAAACTACTTCTAAGAGCGTCATAAACGTGCTGTGAGAAAATTTTGCTAGATATGGGATACCAGACATTGTAATAAGCGATAATGGTCCACAATTTTCAAATCTGAGTTTAAAAACTTGGCGGTGGAGTGGGGATTTGAACACATAACGTCATCACCCAACTATGCAATGGTAAGTCGTAGGTTAAAATGCAGGCTGCTCGTGCACTCGGACCTTTTAAAATAGGTAATGTAGATAATGGGAGACAACACAAAGTTATGCTAGATAAACAAAATAAATACAAAATGTATTATGATTTACATGCTAAGCCTTTACCTGTATTAGATGTCGGCGATGAGGTGACCACGATAGAAAAAAAAAAATTGTAAAATGCCAGGTTATATCGTTGCAAAAGCGACGAATCCCCCCCGCTCATATTTTATTAAAACTAAAAGAGGAATGATGTATCGTCGCAATCGCAGACATCTAATAAAAGATAAAACACAAGAAAATAGAACGTCAGGACAAATAGAATGAGAATAAAGAACATGATCCAATTAGAACAAAAATTATTTC